ATGAGGGATCCCATCCTCTTGGAGATGAAGTTCCTTAAGTCTGTCTTGAGCATCTTGGAAGAAAGGTCCCATGATAGGAACAGCATTGTCCGCCAGATGGCTGTGAGAGGCCTGGGAAATTTAGTCTATGGGGCGCCTGAGAAGGTAAGAGAGATTACTGAATAGAATGCAGCATAACTAGAGAAACCAAGAGCGAGAGTTGTTCAGAGTTTACAGAGGCTGCACAAAATGCACTAGGCCAAATTCTGCTCTCTCATATACCCTAGTAACCTCTTTGCAGTAAACATAGAGCAAGCTGGATCCTTTGGTAAGCTGGGTGAACAAGTCAACAACGTGCACTTTAATATGACCATATGTAAATGTATACATCTGGGAACAAAAAATGCAGGCCATACTTACAGGATGAGAGACTCTATCCCAGGAAGCAATGATGCTGAAAAAACTTGAGTCATGGCAGATAATCAGTTGAACATAAGCTCCCAATACGAAGTTGTGGCCAAAAGGGCTGAAATGATCCTTGGAGGTAAAAACAGAGGAATCTTGAAGAAGAGTAAAGAAGTTATTTTCCCTCTGACTATGGCACTCATGTGAGCACTGCTGGAATACTGTGTCCAGATCAGGTATCTACAGTTCAAGGAGGATGCTGATAAATTAGAGAGGATTCAGAGAAGAGTCTCAAGAATTATCAAAGGATTGGAAAATATCCCTTTAGTGATAGACTCAAGGAGCTCAATCTATTTAGCTTTACAAAGAGCAGGTTAAGGAGTGACTTGAGGACAGTCTATAACTATTCACATGGGGAATACATTTTGATAATGGGTTCTTCACATTAGCAAACAAAGGTATAACAAGATTCAATGGGAGAAAATGAAGCCAGGCTAATTCAGACTGGAAATAAGGCATACATTTTTAATGGTAATTTTAATGAACCATTGGAACAATTTACCAAAGGTTGTGGTGGATTCTCTGTCCCTAGCAATTTTAAAATCAAGATTGGATGTTTTTCTAAAAGATACACTCTAGTTCAAACAGAGACTATTTCGGGGAAGTTCTATGTTATGCAGGAGGTCAGACCAGATAATCACAATGGTCCCTTTTGGCCTTGGAATCTAAGTGACTAGGAATCCAATAATAGGATTACACAGGTGTATTATGGCACCAAGTTGGGCTCATTGTAGCTAGCACCTGGTCTGAAATATAGCTATAGGTCTCTGGGGGGAGACAGGGTTGATGAAATTCCCACAGCTTCATAATTGCTAAAGAAAACTTATTAGAAGTGTGATCAGTGATAAGTGTTCTTTAATGTCATATGTTTGTACAGGTGAAAAAGCACAAGAAGTTTCTTCTGGGCCTACTGATCGGGGCCTTACATGACATTTTCAGTTCGGAAGTCATTGGCGAGAGCATGAAAGCACTGGCCAAAGTTCTGAAGGAGCTGAAAGAGAAGGACATAGGTTCTTCCTTCAAAGACCTCACCCAACAGATCCGGACTTACTTTGACGATGTATGTGAACAGATCTCTCCAACCCCAGTTCAACCGATCTTGATTAGACTCCATTTACAATGCATGATGTGGACTCCCTGGGCATTGCTCATGTCGGAGTGAAGAGATTTTAGGCCCCAGGGAAGAGAGGTGTTTTACGGAGGAGGAGAACATTAGGAGGATGGGGATGACATCCCTGCTCCCACAGTCTCACCCGTCTATTCTTCTTTATTGCCACTGAGAACCTCAAAGAAAATCTGAATACTAGATTAGATAGCTAGATAACCATGAAATGGGGGTTACAGAGTACAAGAGAGAGTGTTGGGCTTGTTCTATACCATTTTTATGTGAGAGGGTTGGAATGATAATTCCGTTTTGCACAGAATTTAGAGATTTCAAATTTGGGTTTTGTTCCTATTTGTGGGAACCCCTCTCCCCAAAGTTCAAAACTCTTTGTGAAACAGAATTACTATTCTCAACCTAGCTCTATTGGAAGCCTTGGCCCAGGGCAGTCTGCTCTCAGACTATCCCGGTGCTGGGAACCCAGGAAACTCTGAGAGCTAGAAGTGCCAGGGAGTTGCAAATTTGAGAGCCAGGGTCCCAGAAGCTGGGGGCCTGGAAGCCCACGATCCCAAGCAGCCTGCTAGATCGGCTGCCACAGAGCTGGATGGGTGCACTGGAAAGACACCAGGCAAGTTTCTAAGGACCCCTACCTGGCTTCCGGAGGAATTTCATCAAAACTGAACTGTCTCTAAAATACTTTGATGAATCAGCAAATTCGAACAAAAAATTGGTTAATTACCGGTTTTCCAACTAGCTGTAGTTGGAATCACTCTACTTTAGCGTAGAAGAGATGGCTGTGCAAAGTGCATGATG